AGCGCCTCTGCAGCCCCCACCCCCGCGGCTGGATCCGGGCCACGGGGCCTCCCACCCCCTGGTACACTCGCGAGGGGTGAGTATTGAGGCCGGGCTTCTCCTGCCCCTGAAGGGCCTGGGCATGTCCCAAGGGTCTCAGTGTCGGTGCCCTCTGTCCACCACGCAAGGGAGGACACTGCCTGTGTCTGCTGTGGCCAGACCTCGCTCCCTACACACACACACACACACACACACGCACACGCACACGCACACGCACACGCACACGCAGACACACGTAGACACACACACACAGTCTTGGGACCCTGCAAACCCCTCCTTGAGGCTGGGGCAAAGGTGCCTTCGCCAGCCACCCCCCGACCTGCCTTCCCACCTCCAGGCCTTTGCCCACAGGCCTCACCCCTTTCTGCCATTGAAATGCCCCACTCTGGGGGCTCTGTCCTCTGCCGCCTCCTTGCCCGAGCCGGGATGGGGGACGGCATGGGGCTGCCCAGGAGCCCCAGGGTACCCCTGACCTGCCCTGCCCCTGCCCCCAGGATATTGACAAGCAGTACGTGGGCTTCGCCACGCTGCCTAACCAGGTGCACCGGAAGTCGGTGAAGAAGGGCTTCGATTTCACGCTCATGGTGGCTGGTGAGTGGGCCAGGCTCCCCGGTGGGGTGGCTGGGGCCACGGGCTGGCCAGGTTCTGTTGTGGGGCCCTCCGACCTCATCCGACTCCTTCCCTGTATCTGTGGGCAGGTGAGTCGGGCCTGGGGAAGTCCACACTGGTCCACAGCCTCTTCCTGACCGACCTGTACAAGGACCGGAAGCTTCTCAGTGCTGAGGGTGAGTGAACCCCGAGCTGTCGGGGCACTGGTCACCATCCCCTCCTGTGTGATGACCCCTCAAGGGGTGCCCTTCCAGGTCCATCCCCCCTCCTCCCTCCCCACAGCATGGGGCTTCTGTTCAGGGTCCTGCAGGAGTGGCCTGAACCACAGCAGGGCCCTGTGGCTGGGGCCAAAACACTAGGAAGGAATGAGAACAGCATCCTGCCTGCCCAGGGGGAGGGGGAGGCCCTGTCAGTGAGGCACCTCCCAGCTGTGTCTGTCTCCCCCACAGAGCGCATCAGCCAGACGGTAGAGATCCTGAAGCATACGGTGGACATTGAGGAGAAGGGCGTCAAGCTGAAGCTCACCATTGTGGACACGCCGGGCTTTGGGGATGCTGTAAACAACTCTGAGTGGTGAGGCAGGCCTGGCTGGGGGGCAGGACCTGCCCAGCTGACCCAGCCTCCCCCGGTGCCAGCATGCTGGCCTCACAGCCCGGCCTCACGCACCCTCTTGCCCGCAGCTGGAAGCCCATTACCGACTACGTGGACCAGCAGTTTGAGCAGTATTTCCGCGACGAGAGCGGCCTCAACCGCAAGAACATCCAAGACAACCGGGTGCATTGCTGCCTGTACTTCATCTCTCCGTTTGGGCACGGGTGCGTGACTGTCCTGAGGCCAGGGGCCACCCGCATCCCCAGCCATTCCTCCCTGGGCCCTGCCCCCCCCCCTCCCGCCCCACCATGACCCCAGCAGCCCCTCACCACCCTGGCTGCTCCCTTGCAGGCTACGGCCGGTGGACGTGGGTTTCATGAAGGCTCTGCATGAGAAGGTGAACATCGTGCCCCTCATTGCCAAAGCTGACTGTCTGGTCCCCTGTGAGATCCGGAAGCTGAAGGAGCGGGTGAGCATACGTGGCAGTGGTCTGGCCCAGGACTTGGTTCCAAGAGCACCAGGTGTGCCGACCCCGGGCATCAACACACCAGGCCCAGGGGACCTTGCCAGCCCTGAAGCTGACAGCCTTGCCCCACTGCAGATCCGGGAAGAGATCGACAAGTTCGGGATCCACGTGTATCAGTTCCCCGAGTGTGACTCAGACGAGGACGAGGACTTCAAGCAGCAGGACCGGGAACTGAAAGTGAGTATGCCGTCCAGGGGGCGGGGAGGGAGCTAAAGTCCAGTTCACGTGGTGCCTGGAGGAGGCCGGGTGCCCAACTCCCATGTGGGGGTTGCAGCAGAGGTCTGTAGCCTGGGCAGTAGAGTCTCTTCGCCTAGCCCGAGAGGACGAGGGGCACCCATGCTCCTGCCTGCCCACAGGCACAGCTTCTGGCCAGGCCCCCACCCTAACCCTGCTCCTTGGTCTCCTCGTGAATCCCCAGCCACTGGTTGTGTGTGCACTGGCTCCCAGAATTCTGTGCAACAGAGGATGGGGTGGCTTTGAGTGCCCCTGCACCTCGAGTGGTTATGACCAAGCTCAAACTGGGGACACGTGGTCACAGGGCCAGGAGCAGGGTTGGGCAGGGATATCACTGGGAAGCATAAACTCAGTTATAGGCCCTAGGACAGTGGTTCTCAACCTTCCTAATGCCGCGACCCTTTAATACAGTTCCTCATGTTGTGGTGACCCCCAATTTCATTGTTACAAATTGAACATAGTTAAAGCACAGTGATTAATCACAAAAACAATATGTAATTAAATATGTGTTTTCCGATGGTCTTAGGCGACCCCTGTGAAAGGGTCGTTCGACCCCCAAAGGGGTCGCGACCCACAGGTTGAGAACCGCTGCCCTAGGACAAGCATGTCAAACTCGCGGCCGAACGGACCACATGCCTCGTTTAAGTAAACGCCGGCCGTGAGTTTGACATGCTTGCACCTAGGATGTAGGCTGCACCAGCTCTGGCCTCAGCCAGCAGCAGGGAGGCTGGGGGGTGAGAGGGGTTTCCACTAGGATCGCTTTGGGGAGAGGTCATTGATGGTGATGCTGGTGGAGCTGACCAGGCGCTGAGTGCCCAAGCCCCTCTCCAACCACTAACCCATCCTAATTGGGCGTGAGCCCTCGCACCTGCCCCTCCGCAGGAGAGTGCACCCTTCGCGGTAATCGGCAGCAACACGGTGGTGGAGGCCAAGGGGCAGCGAGTCCGGGGGCGACTGTACCCCTGGGGGATCGTGGAGGGTGAGTCCAGGCATCGGGCACAGCCTGCTGGGTGGGAAGGCTGACCCTGGCTGGCGCCCCACCCACTGCACGCTCCCACCCCACAGTGGAGAACCAGGCGCACTGCGACTTCGTGAAGCTGAGAAACATGCTCATCCGCACACACATGCATGACCTCAAGGACGTGACGTGCGATGTGCACTACGAGAACTACCGCGCACACTGCATCCAGCAGATGACCAGGTGCGCCATCCCCTAGACCTGGACGTGCATCTCCTGGCCTCAGACGCACCTCCATAACCAAGTTGTCCTGGCTGCCCACCCAGACTTGAACCCTGCCCCAGCCCCTAGATCGGCTCCCCAGCACCTTGCCTCCCCAGCCCAGCCCAGAGGTGTGGGAGCTCAGGAGGGCAGCCTTGGTAGTGGTGAGGTTGGCTGAACCTCCCAGCAGCACTGTTCCTCTTGTCCACCCTGCAGCAAACTAACCCAGGACAACCGCATGGAGAGCCCCATCCCCATCCTGCCACTGCCCACCCCCGACGCTGAGACGGAGAAGCTTATCAGGATGAAGGATGAGGAGGTTGGTGAGGCCTGGAGCAGGGGCGGCGGTGGGAGGAAAGGCTAGCGGCTGGGGACTGAGCCAGGACCCTCCCATCTCATTTCTCACCCCACCTTCCGCGGTTCCTGCCCCACTTCCCAGCTGAGGCGCATGCAGGAGATGCTGCAGAAGATGAAGCAGCAAATGCAGGACCAGTGACCCCTCCCCAACCCTACGTTGCCATGGATATACTGCCAGTTTCTGGACTGGCCCTTTCCACTCCTGGACCCCGACTGGCCTGGATTCGACCCTGGATTCATCTGGACCTCTGACAGGCCTGGAAGCAACCCCAATCCCAGAGTGGCCTAGACCCAGACTGTTCCCGACCTGACCCAGAGACACGGGGTCACAACCCCAGCCATCCCTAATTTATTCTCAGCATCAGCCCCTCCCCTCACTTGTATCTGTTTCCATGGGGCCTGGGCAATGGCCCCCACTCTGGCCTTGGAGGAGCAGGAGCTGGTTGGGCTGTGACTTTTGAGAACCCCCCACCCCCCACCCCCATCTCAGAAGGTCACGGCCCTCAGACTCCAGGCCCTACTCAGGCAGAAGAGGGGAGCAGATCCCCAGGGTCTCGGACCTATTCCCCCACCCAGTGTCACAGCACAGACTTGGGAGCTGTGTCCCCTGCTCCCGTGGGCCACCCAGCACATGCTGAGACCTCATTTGGTGTGGATGCAGGCCAGGTCCTCTCTTCCCTCCTCACCCAGGAGCTCAGCAGGCAGATGGAGCACCCTAGGCACTTAGGGTCCCTCCAGGCCTAAGGAGGCCAAGATGGAGTGAGGGGTTGGGATGCAGTGATAGCCCGTGCCCCTCCCCCACAGCTGTGGTTTGGGGAGGGCTCCAGGAGCAGTGGGCTGTGGGCCATCCCCTGGCAACCCCATGCCTAGACTGCTGTTCCCTGCCTTTGGCTGGGGGTCCTTCTCCCCAGCATCATTGTTGCCCTGGGTTCCCGAGCCCTTGGCCCCGTCCACCATCCCCCCACCCGCATGAACCCCTTCCCCAAGCCCCATTCTCCAGTTTTGTTAAGTTGTGAATGCCCTCCTGTCCTGGTGACGGGAGAACAATGTTGGTGAACGTTGCTGCGGGTGTCCGAGTGCTCCTTTTGCCCCTGGGCCGAGTGGGGGCGGAAGTTCCTGCTGCGCTGGCCCAGGCGATAGCGCTCTATCAGCAGCCCGCTGCGCCTGCGGAGGCAGCCTGGGGGTTATTTCTGGCGGGGCAGCTGTGCTGTGGTCGGTGTACCCGGAGCGCCGGGGCCTGGCAGGGACGTGGCGGCCTTATCTCCCTGTCCTCGGGCAAACGCTTCCACTCCAGAGGGAGCCGGGCCGCCATCCTCTCGCCATGGGCTCTGGTGAGTCTGGTGGCCGGGCCAGGCCACACGCTGAGCAGAGTCGGGTTGAGAGGCCCTCCACTCGTTTTGGCTGCAGTGGGGGGATATTGGGGTCAGACTTAGAGGAAACTTGCAGCCAGTGCGCGGGGTGGTCGCGGGGGCGAGGCTTGCGAGCGCTGG